TGTCCCCAGCCCTCCGCAGGCCACTGGGGCCTTCCCTTCTTGAACCCTGGCCCCGAAAAGCCCCGTGTGATCGCACACCCGGGCCTTCAGCTGAGCTCCGGGGGGGTCCTGCCCCTACCCCTCAGCTGAATTGAGGTGGAGAGCCCGGTATGGAGAGTGCTCAGAGCTTTCGTCGTGTTCCTACTGCAGTTCCTGCCCAGACACCAGCAGCTGAGTGAGAGGGTGCGGAAGCGGCTCTATTATGGCTGGGACAAAGACTGCAGCCTGGATAACCTCTCCAGCCCCGTGGCAGGTGGGTTGCTGAGTGCCCCCAGAGGGGGGAATGCTGAGTCAAGGAGTTTGGAAGTAGCCCAGGGGCTGAGACCAACAAGTCACCCGCTCCCTGCACAGTGCCAAATCCCACCCCTGCCTAGCCTTCCTCGCTGTGTGCAGCGCAGCAGGCAGGGTGCCAGAGCCTCACAGCTCCTGCTTTCTGTTGTGTTGCCCTGCCTGGCCCACAGCTGCATGTTTGGCACCTTGCTGGTGTGAGGGTTCCTGTAGGTTGCTTGCGAATTCCTTGGCAGTGAAGGCTGTGTCCCTGATGAGGGATGTCTGTGACAACTTCTTGGGCTCTGCCAGGTGCTGGGGAGTTTGTTTAACAAACAGCCCTTGCGAGCAGTGAGGGGACAAGTTCCTGCTGTGTGTTTGCCTGGTCTTTCCTGTTCCTGTTTCCTGAATCCCTGTCTTTCCTGTTGATTTCAGCAGTGTTTCACATCCCTCTCTTTCCTGTTGATTTCAGCAGTGTTTTGGGGGAACAGAAAGATGCAGCTGGGCTTGAGGAGCTGGTGCAGGTGATGATGGGGAGGAGTGGTGAAGGACAAGCAGTGATTTGCTGGAGGGTCTTCACAGCGGGGTCATATTAGCGGTTCCATTAGCTGCATGCTCACACGGCTGACAGGGGGCATTGAGCAGGTGGGGAAGTGTCCTTGTGTTCCAAACTCTTGTGATAGGTTTGGGGAAATGGTCTGAAGTTGCCGAGAGGCCGCACGTGAAGTAGTGAGGAGGGGGATGCTGGGTGCGTGGCGACGGAGTAGGGCAGGGTAGCCAGCTGCCTGGGCACTGCTGGGAGTCATGAGTTCTGACACGGATGGTGCAAGGAAGGCACATGGCTCGTTTTTGAGGCTGGCATCACACCCGGGGGCAGGACTGGACTGTTCCACAGTGTTGAAAGTTCAAAGGGCACATTCATGGAAGAAGACTTTGTTGAGGGCTATTAACTGTAAAGACAGCCTCACACCCAGAAAATGCCTCAGCTTTGGCATTTTGGGGTGGGAGGGAGGCACAGGGAATATCGCTGTGAGCTTATCTGCTCTTCCTGCTTGTCTCTGCCAGCTGCTATCAGCCGCTGTCAAAAAATGGGACCCAGGGCTATGGCATCTGTCTTGAAACAGCTGTGCATTGCTACGTGGTGAGTTCATGGCACTGCTCTTCAGATGAGACTGTGGGGAGAGTGCAGAGGAGCTGGAAAAGGCCTTTGGCACTGGGGGAAAGGTGCGGGAGGCAGTGTGAGGCTGGCTGAGGAGAAAGAGATTGAAAAGTGAATTTGTTCCTTCTGGAAAGGAAGAACCATAACCCCCGTCAGCATGGTGGTGACATGGGGACAGTGATCACCTGCTCTCCGCACCCTCTAGGGCAGGGCACGTTGCCATGGGTTGGATTTGTGGGCTGAAGGAGTAGCTTTGGTGTCGGGACAAGGTATGGGGGGATCTTTCTATCCCATGGAGCCGTGCTGCCGTCTCTGTGCTGGCCCGTGTGTGTGTCCCTGCTCAGCGCAAGGGTGGGCAAGCAGGGCAGAGAGAGACGGAGCTGCTGTGGGGGTGGCTGGAGCTGTGTCTGCCTGGCTGTGAATCCTGAGGGGGATGTCCCTTAGAGCAGTGTGTTTCTGAGCTTGGTGGTTGCTGTCAGGCAAATAATTCCTGTGGGATCCATTCTCTCGTGGAGAGAAGAGGTGGTGCGATGGTGCTCTGGAAGCGTGAGGCTGCTGGGACGAGCTTTGCTGTCGACTGTCAGCCCAAGGGCTCAGCAGCAAAATGGAGCTGGAGCTGCCTGTCAAATGCTTCTTGCCAAGCACCAGACTGTAGTGCTGTTTGGGACGCTCCCAGCTGGTCCTATCGTGTCGAGAAGCGAGATGAGAGCTGCTGAAGCCATCTGCCCGCATCTGTCAGTCTCTGGCCTTTTCAGTGCTTGAATGCTGAGGCGTGCCCACGGGTGGGGGTGGGAGTGGGTTGAGATGGGGAGCTGCAGCCATACCATGTTGCTGTTTCTGTGCCCTGTCAGCGCCTTGAGGCTCCTGTTGACGTGAACGGGCTGTCTGTCATCTCAGGGGCGCTAGGGCTGTGGTGGGGAGGAAGCTGGGTCAGCGCTGACCAGGTCCTAGAAAGCCTCTAAAAGGGCTGCCTGAGGTCCTGTGGGGTGAGGGGAGGGTGTTAGCCTCCTGTGCAGCTGACTGCTGCTAACTCCTGTGACGCAGACACGCTAATCTGGATCTGGCACTGCCGCTGGGCCTTGGACACTCACATCCTCTTCCTGCTTTGGTGTGGCTGTCCTACCTATTTGTTTGTTCCTCCCTCACCTCTGACTTCTGATAAGGCCTACCTTTTGTAGTTTAAATTAAACCTGTGGGGCTGAGCAAGCACCAAGACTCAATGGGCTTATGGGGAAAAGGAGAAGGGTGGGGGTGGGCTGTGCCATATGGGGCTAACCCTTTTTGCTGCTTCTCTACCCTAGATATCGCTGTAGAGTTGCTGCAGAAAGTGGCTCCCAGCCCTATCCGCAGACTCCAGAAGAAATATGTCTCTCATGTGTCCCGGTAAGGAGCAAAACTTGTCGCTTCGTGTCCCGTGTCAGAACTGGGAGCTCTGGTCTCACCTGTGACTCACTGCTGTGCCCTGGGCCAGCACTGGCTTTATGCTTAGGCCTCATGGCCTAAGCAGAAAGAGGAGCTGGGGGTGGGTGGCAAGGCCATCAGGCACAGTGGCTTCTGGACACAGCTGAGCCCTCTGCAGGTTGCTCCTGCCCTCGGGGGTGCTCTTGTTACTGGGAGTCTCTACTGGCTGGATCTGCAGCTTGCTGGGCAGCCAGGTCTGAGCCCCGGCTCTGCTCGCGGCAGGCAGCGCTGCCCAGTCTGGAGCTGGCTGTGTCTTGAACAGGAGCCAGGGCTTTCCGCTCTTTATCCTGTATCCTCTGCACTTTCCCTTGCTGCAGCTCGGGACAGCTGGCACAGAGCTGGTGAGGTTGAGGCGTGTCTAGCTGTCTATTTACTAAACCTCCCTGCTGCAGGAGTGGATAGGGAGCAGCCAAGTTGTTCTGTGGTGACTGGGATGTTTGTGACACACAAATCACCTCCGGGTTGGCTGTTGCCTTGTCCTGCAGGGAAGCTTGCATCTCGCCCTGCTCCATGATGCTGGCACTGGTTTACATTGAGAGACTCCGGCACCGGAACCCTGAATACCTCCAGCAGATCTCCTCCTCAGACCTCTTCCTGATCTCCATGGTGAGCCGTCTGGGCATCACTGGGTTAGGGGGAGGCCTGGAGGAGTGCAGGGGGGACTGAGATCCTGTCCTTTGTGCTGCTTTTAGATGGTTGCTAGTAAGTACCTGTATGATGAGGGTGAAGAGGAGGAGGTGTTCAACGACGAGTGGGGAGCGGCAGGGAAGGTGGATGTCCAGACCATGAACACGCTGGAGATGAACTTCCTGAGCGCCATTGTAAGTGGGGCTGTTGTTGCGGCCTCCTGTTTCACGGAGTGGGGGAAGGAGGCATTAAGGGGAGTCTAGATTTCTACTTTTCCCCATCGTGGAAAGGGAGGGAAGGCTGTGTCGGGGTGGCCTGCCCTGACCTTTTGCTGCTGTCCCCGCAGGACTGGAGTCTCTACACAGACCCCCGGGAGCTGTTTGAAGTGCTGAGCTGGCTGGAAGGACGGTAGGTGTGTGGGTGGGGAGGGAGCCCTGCAGCCCTGGCTCTGCCCCTGCTCAGAGCTGTGAAGTAAGAGGTTGGGGTACCCCTGAGCCTTCGCTAGGCTCTGTGGCTCCCTTCCATACTCCATGCTCCTTGAGCAGGGCTTCTCCGAGCCTGCCTGGGCTGAAGCTTCTTCGATGGAGAAGGCCCATTCCACACCCACCATTCCCTTTTTTTCCCCTGCAGTGTGGCAGAAAAGCAGGGCATGTGGCGTGGCTGGTTCACCTACACGGATCTGTGTGTCCTCATGGAGCAGTCCGTGTGGCAGCACGTGCTGGGCCAGTTCTACCAGCAAGTGGTGAAGGTAAGGGCATGGGGCAGCAGCTGCTCACAAGGATGTAAGGCCTAGCAGGCCGCGTGTTTGGAGCAGGACCCTCTCTTCCACCAGGAGCATCAGCTTGGTTTATTCCTTGTTGGAAAGGGAAGCTGTCAAAGCCAGAAGATGCTGATTTGCAGCCTGGCGCTGGGTTAGTCTGTGCCCTGGGCTGGACTGCAGCCCCACAGGTCATGGTGGTGGCACAGAGGGAACTGGGTGCTGGCAGGGGATTTAAACAGAGACTTAGGTTTTAGCTGGGGCGTTCTGGTTTGTGGGTTTAGGCCCTGCCTTGAACAGGCTGTGTGCCGCTAGCAGCATGGCTGCCTGTTCCCCGGCATCCGGTGCCATTTGCCATCACGGCTGATGGGTCGATGCGTGGCCACGCAGGGTGACAGCCAGCTGGAGGGGGCTGCTGGGTGGGATTTGGGCTAACCATTGGCTTCTCTGCAGCTGGCCTGCCTCCTGGGCGTGGTGTACCTGACCGGCTTCGCTGCTGTCTTCGCCTCCGTCGCTGTGGTGCACCGCTCCGTGTGCGTGAGGAGCATCAGCCCTGCAGCCTCCCGGCCTGCACTGTTCCTGGAGGAAGGCAGCTGCCAGCTG